GGTAAAGTATAAGTCGGAAAAACAGAATGGTGTGGCTGACGCGTTATCGCGTAGACCTGACTATGAGCTTGCTCATCTTACTGTTGTGAGTTCGTCAGTAACGGATCGTGTCCGTGTGGCGTATGCACGCGATGAGGCATGTGTTGCCATTCTGCAGGCGCTAGGTAGCGCAGAGAGTTTGAAAACGCTAAGGTGAAGCTGTCACAGCGTAATCGTGCGAGATTACATCGTTATGCACTGACCGATGGTCTGTTGTACTATAGTACAGGGTCGGATGACCAGCCTCGTGTTGTGGTGCCTCATGATGAGGACCTCAAATATCAGATACTTTATGAGGCTCATGATACACCACTTGGTGGTCATTTTGGTCGTGAGAAGACCTACAGCTCGGTGAGCACCCATTATTGGTGGCCCAAGCTGTACAAAAGGGTTGGTACCTACGTACGCATGTGTACAACGTGTCAAAGGGTGAATCCCTCGCCTAATATGGCTGCGCCTTTGGCGAGTTTGCCTGTACCCTCGGTGCTGTGGCAGTCCATTAGTATGGACTTTGCGTTTGGCCTACCGCGTGATGCGGCAGGCAACACTAGAACTGTGGTCTTTGTAGACAGACTGAGCAAGATGGCTTATTTAGCGACAGTGCCGAACTCCATTGATGGAGAAAGAATAGCAAAGCTGTTCATGGATTGTGTGTTTCGACAACACGGATTGCCTGTGACAATCGTCTCGGATAGAGACCCCCGTTTTACGGGCAAGTTTTGCACATTCGTCTTTAAAGTGCTCGGCACTCGACTGGACATGTCCACGGCGGATCATCCGCAGACCGATGGTCAGGCTGAACGCGTCAACCGCGTTATTGGCGATATGCTTCGCAGTGTTTGTGCTAAAACACCCAAGCAATGGAGCACAATGCTCCCTCTGGTAGAGTTTGCGTTGAACTACGCGGTGCATACCTCGACAGGCTTCACCCCATTCGACGTGAATGGTTTGGTCAACCCTCGCGTTCCGTTAACGCTACCCCCTGCCACATTAGGGCTTAATGGGGGAGAGATAGCCGAAGGCTTGGCTGATATCAGCCCTGTTGCGATTCGCAAGAATGTGGAAGCGTTTCTTTCAGCTCGTATTGACGTATTACGTCGCGTCAAAGACGCTATGGCTGAAAGCCAGGGTGTTCAAAAGGAAGATGCGGATGCCAGAGGCATAAAGAACGAACATGAGTTTAAAGTGGAAGACTTGGTTTGTTAAAAGCTAGTAATTACCTACCGTGCCGTTCCGGCGGTATACAAAACTAAAATACGACCACATTTTATTGGACCTTTTAAGGTTATAAGCAAGAAAGGCTTAGCGTATACGCTGAACCTTACAAAGAAGATGCAAACACACCCTGTGTTCTATGTGGGCTTACTAAAGCCATGTTTTAACCATGCCTCGGTGGCCTACGATGGGTTGCCCCTATATCCCCGGCCGAAGGAGGCGGGAAGTACTGCACCGGAGGTGCATATGGACGCTAAAGGCGTACCAGGAGGTCGATCTGACATTGCAGTTTGGCTTAGAAACGCTCGATAACCGCTAAGTAATCCAAGGTCTCAGAGCGACAACGCTCAAAGGATCAACGGTGTCGATCAACACGGTCATCAAGCGATGACAGGTGGGACCTCACCGGTACAAGGGAATCACGCTCCAGGAGCATCAGGCGACGCTCAATCTCAGAGAGATGAGAGGTCAATGGGTCATCGACCTCTTCCGACGTTGATTGATGACCAGGGTCATCAACAGTTCTACGTGGAACGTCTCTTGGCTCGGCGTCGTCACCAGGGTCATACCAAATACTTGGTGAAGTGGAGAGGTTACTCCCAGTCGTATGACCCGTGGGAGTATGAGGTATCGCTTCGGCAGGATCGCCCTGACGCCGTTGAAGCTGTTGACCAGGAAGGTCAGAAGCGACGACAGCTGTCTTCGGACGCTTCCTAGCACTAGGTGCTGTGAAAGTAGGGTCAGCAGGCTGGCTTCGCCTCTGACCTTCAGAAGAAGCCAATGTCGGTACATCACTCGAGTGAGAGGTACGGGCAACAGCTTCAGAAGATTGCTCCCCACGAGTCTTTGACCTGTATGTGGAGGGTAGTTGAAGTTTCGCTTTGAGCTTAGCGAAGTTAAAACGTAGACGGCGTTCTAACCAATCAACTGGTTCTTTAGCGCTTAAGCGCAAGTTAGACAAAATTGAGAGCTTACATGCTCCTTCTACCCAACGGGTGAACCGGTGATCATTTTGTGCAGATCTTTCACCTGGTACAAGCACCACTGGTATGTCGTTTAGTGGGTGCACGGGCACCCCACGTTACAGTCGTGACAGTCGCTCCTGATACGAATTTCATCGTAAACTCCTGGGAGTCGCTTACGAAGAGCTGTACGATCCGCAACCTCGCAAGCAGTACGGGCATAGGACCCAATGATATAGGTTCGCAAGGATAGCGATGCAGCTCGTCGAGCTTCCGCATTGGGGTCCCGGGGCACGAACCCATAATCACGTCGTGAAAATGTTTGTTTGGGTCGTGCCAAAGCGGCCGCTCGGTCCTTGTCGTCAAGTTGACGACGCTGTGCAGCGTCAAGAGGGTAAGTTACCTCTTTGTCTGTACCCTCTCGCGAGGGAAGAGGAGGCGTTGGCGCAAAGGGGCTGTCTCCCTTAGAGGGGAAGACACAGAATGGGATCGGCGTCCCTCGCTCGGTGAGCGTGCTCATTGTGGGGTACTATGATTCAACGTAGACTCGGCGCCATTGCCCCTTGAAGTAACGTCACTGTTATCAAACCGGATATTGAAGACGCAAAGCCTGAATTTTTTCGTTCAGCTGCCACCTATACAGAATCCTCCACCAACTTGTGCCTACGTGAGCTTTCGCAAATGCGTTTATATATGCAGAGTATTACCGAATACCATAGCTATATTGTCTTTATAAAATCAAAACAATACTCTAAAACACCATTAAGCAAACTTTGTTAATCAATCATTTAGAGGTGCATCAGTTGCAGAGCCTATCTAATATTGCAAGAAACTTGATTACTATTAGCATGCTGTAATTCGCGAAGATTCCGCCGTCCTAACAACCATTTTTTGGAAACTAGTTGAGATTTAGGCGACTTAAAGGATGACTGGAAGCCCGTCGTACCGTTATCATCGCTTCGTCGACATGGCGATAATAGCGCTTGTTAGTGGTAGCTCAAAGTTTGCAATAGCGTTTGTAGCCAACACCAATAAACCTGAGCTCAAAATGCTATAGCTGCTTTGAGATGTATGATATCTGAGCTATAAATTTGCTAACGGCTTTAACTTGTGCTAGTTACTCAGATGACAACGTCGACGCTATGTTTAATGTTCGAACCAAACAAGTTTGCCAAGTTTTGACGTTTTAGAATACGGCTAGTAGCGTTCAAGTGAATTGTAGCATGCCCGTTGGTGCTATATGTCTAGAGTTCGGGCAGACATTTCGTCATGAGCTTTTGACTCTTTCCCATTAACTCCTAGTTGCTAACCAGAACTTTGTACTTAAGCTCCTATCACACGTGAAAAGCTTAGACAAGATGAGGTCAACACTCTCAGAGCTTTGCGGAAATAGCTTATATAACTGCAGAAGCTACCAGCACCTACGTGGAAACCCATTCGAGCCACAATAGTGTCAATTGTTTGCATTCCTCAAAGCCATCGACCTTAGACACATGACGTGTGTAAACTACCGCAACAACTCCTTGCGCCTTGTCCATTGTGTAGAGTGCATACGAAGACACAACTTGTATGGTTGGAAGTACCGCAACCTCCGCGCATGATTGATACATGGAATGCGAATCCCTCGCGTGGTGTGTAGCAGGAGCTGCAGTAGATTCGCTGCCGAGACCCCAGAAAATTGTCCAAAATGGGTCATCAGGCTTCTTTTGACAAACGCATTTAACGACAAACCATTCATCACGATGGATACGCTCCTACTCGTACAGGCCTCCGACGCGGACTTATGGTATACTGTTAATGCGGGCAGGAGATGCACCATAGAGAAAATCTGTCGTTACAGAGAACGATCGCAGAGAAATGGCAAATGCTGGTGCGGTGGAGCCAATACAGGACGAATGCTTTCGGTAACGAGGGCAGTGGAAAAAACGGGCTATTGACATGTTAATTTCTGTGTGTCTTCGCTACGTGATTGATAATGCTTCTTGTTACAAGTATCGCTAGGTTCTGCGTAGTTCAAAAGGTACCTGCTGGTGGAGTCCCGCACCGTCGCGTGGTCTCAGCCTTCTGTTGGATGGAAACAATCAAGACCAATTCCTATAACCTTTTGCGTCGTGGTGCCTGTCGAGCTTGTGGGCGAAGTCCGTGCGTTGCTTATGCGACACCTAGAAAGTAAATGAGGTTGGTGAAGATGGCGGCTACGACAAAGACTTGTCCCGGAGCTGCAGCGGCTGGCAGCAGAGTGTCCAGGGACATTATAAACATGAAGAATAATAGACACTAAAGGGGAGTCCGCCGTTTTCACAAGTGATGCAAACGATACCCACCGTAACCACCGCACTCAGTTCGTGCTTAAAAGGCAATGTCTTAATTTTTTGGATTGATACTACGTGTGCGAATCAGTTGTGAATGGTCAAGCTTGGCTAAGTCCTACTTGCCATTTTAACTGCTTGCTGCTGTTTTTATCAGCAATATTCAATCACTGCGCTCTCAACAGAGGTAGCTTTTCATCACGACGGGGTGTAGGCGAGTCGAGAAATAGTCTTGACTATATTCTACGCTGAAGTCTCGATCTTGGCCTAAGAGATAACGAGTAATTACGCAAGCAGCGTCTAAGCTGCTTTGCATTTTGACGCCGTAAAACCAGGTACTACGACTGTGTAGGTGGAAAATCAATGCCACCGGATGTAACAGAACCACAATTCATTTACAGCGTGGTGTGCGACGTTTGCGCTGGTCTGCATCTAACGCGAGACAATGAGGTCAATTCGGCTTTGGTGTCTCTTTTCAGGCCAGCCCTTCCGTCTTCGTGATCAAAGTGGAGACAATCGAAGTCTCCTTCAGTAACGACAAATGAGCTGTAAAAACGAAATTGGTTCGTGCACAAAAGAGTAGCCCATATCCCTGAACGATATGGACGAGAAGTCAAGCGTTACCTCGTCGGCGTCGCCCATTGCAATTTTGTTGTTTACAATCAGTCTTGAAGGCATCGTTAAGAACTGGCTGCGTCGCTGCAAATTACGTCCGAAAATGATCTTTGCAGCAGCGTGTGATTCTGCATCGCAATTTTCCTGCTCATAAGCAGTTTCACGGAACATTGTCTATCGTTGGTGTTAGGTGTAATGTCGTTGTTTTTTATTGGAGAGAATACCGGCAAATCTTTCCGGTCAACCGTTTCTTTTAATGATTGATCAACCTGAAAAGTCTGGCTGTAGTCATGCATCCACCAATAACAAAGAAACTGCGATCTGAAACGCACCCAAACGCAACGGATGCAAGGGATAGAAAAAGCCGGATGGGGACCCTCGGTCACAAGTACTGAAAAATATTGCTCTTGGTACCTGAATGATATATTAAACATCGTGTAAAGTAGCGGTATCGTATGCTTGGCTGCCGCTAGAGTGGACGAGTGTACAAAGTGCTGGAGATGTTTCTGGTGGAAAAGCAAATGTTGGCTAGACAGAATGACGCGCTCCTTATTTGTATCAGTTTATATCTGATTACTTGGCTTCGTTACCTTTATGCATGTTGACGTAAGTTCACTTGTCTTTCTTTATATTGCCAGATTTTGTCAAATAATAGAAAAGCGAACTGAACTATTGTAACATCAATAGAGAAAACTACCTAGATTGTTTGCATAATGCTTTCTTTCTTACAATTTACCCTTCGCAAATCGCACCTTCAAGGAACAACGCCCAGGAGACAATGAACTTCAAGAGCCAGAAATTGACTCCTTCCGTAAGCGAGAAAATATTGTAATGGAGCCAAGTAATAGGGAGCGAAACTTCTTTACGCTGCGTGCGTTACGGGAGGCAGCGCAGCGTGCCCGGCCCTTGTCGTAATCTCAGCGCCCTATATACACCCCAAGCTATATACTGATTCCACTTGCCCTCTACGGAGTGTTCTCGTGAAGCTCAAGCCAGCGGAATGAGCCGGCAAGGCGAGGAAGCATGTAGTCCCGCTAGAAGCATACAGACATCGTACAGTCATAAGTACTTAACTGACGGGGTGCTCTTTCACTTTTCTTACCTTTTACAGCTCGATAATTATTTTTCATGCTGACACTAAAGCATAGTAACTACTCTCATCAGCCTATGCTAGACTGTTCAAAATGAAACATCACGATCGCGTGCATACACGTAAAAAGGCTGGTCAGTCGTTGCCCTTAAGCCTTACACTTGAGTCTTTTAAAAACCGAAGAAAAATACTAAGTCAGACGTTGCACTCTGTCTATAGTGAGAATATCAAAGCCTTCCTGAAGCGGCCCTTACAACATCAATGATGATCGCCCAAAAAATTTGAGCAGTGCGCGCTTTCTAAAGAATGGAATGCGATATAGCATATCAATTTACATCTACATTATAAATAAACAGTATGTTTTGTATCACATGACAAAACTGATACTTTCGCCATGTAGGCGGGCTATTACTATAGAAGAAAGTTCTTTCTCAAGACATGTAAGATTGATACTTTAATAGTTCAGCAAATCTAAGCTGCCCTCGATCGAAGAGACCTTAAAAAGAACTAATTGACTTTGATCAATATAAAATATGATTATAAATGATTTTATTGGAGATAGACAGGTACTTGTCTAAATCAACAACTGAAATCACAAACCGGAAGTAAAGTCCCACGTAAATCCATTATTGCTATTTTTTCTCTGAAACCAAAAGCAGACAGACACCACAATAATGCGTCTCGATCTGATTCTCTTCATGGCAGCTATTACTCAATATTGCTGTGTCGATACACTGTCAACTCGGCCAACATCAGCATTTGTGACACCAAGAAAGTCTAATCAATATGCTCTACCTGCCCAAGGGTCTCTGCAAGACGGCACGGAGGCGACTGCAGAGGATAGAGGGCTCAATGACATCACCAAATTTGCTACAAGAATAGTTAACAGGTTTGGAATTGGCACCTCGGATAATGTGCGTTCACCGACGATTTCAGCAGATGTGGAAAAAGCTATTAAGAGATATAGTCTTGGAAAATCTACCACTTTGCTAATGGACCCGAAGTTTTACAAATTTCTGACACACATTAAATCTGTTTACGGAGACGACGCGTATTATGGAATAGCAGAAGGTTTGGCGAGGGAGCGCGGTATCGTATTTTTGCAAACGATCTAGCAGCGGTCAAAAATGTTGCAGGTGCGGAATCTTTGGCATTAAAATTACAGAAGGCGCTGGCGAAAGTTTGGGCAGATAAAGAAGGCATGAATGAGAAACAAGCCGTCGAATTATTGGAATTTGACAAACTTCAACCTGACGAAACCAACAAAAGCTTGCTAAACCATCCACTGTTCTCAATGTTGATCGAGTTCCTGAAACAGAAATACCAAGACAACAATGACTTCGAGGCAGCAATGGCGAAGGCTTTTACTTACCTCAATGAATCCACTCTTGAAAAGATGCTGGAAGCTGCCAGAAATACTAACAGTATTGAAGTTGAACATGAAGTGGAGATTGCTTTTTTAGAGAATCATTCGAATACAATGACGGCAAATGAAGCTTTCGTTTTTTTGAGGCTTGACGCCCCAAATGAAAGTAGCCTGCTAGACACGAAACAATTTAATTTGTGGGATAACTTTGTAAAAGAAAAACATTCGGATAGTGCAGATAAAGAGGTGGTGAAGATTTTGGTAGAACATCGCAAAGAATTAGCCACTGTAAATATTTTACAATTGGCTCGACAGAATAAAAATACGGCGACACGTGCGGACGTATTACAAGAGGCGCAGATGAAGACTTGGATGGAGAGAGAAGACCCGCCAACGGTGGAAAAGGTCTACGGTGACTTCAGTCGTTATAAGGATCTATTTGGTTTTGGCTATGCACAACCAATGTTTTATGCATGGATCAAGTTTGCGCGAATGACAAACAACTATAACGAGGAAACAGCAATGACAGAAGTTCTAGCGGTTTTACGTAGTAAGAAAGGCAAGGGTGAGGCCAGTTCTGTTTTGCCTTTGCTGGACCAACTTACCGGCAATGCAGAGGCGGATAAGATCGCAGCCGGTATAAGGAATGCGGTAAGGCGTTCGTGGAAGGCTGATGGGATAACCCAGAGGATGTTTTTCTAAAGCTACCGTTCATCCGGGGTAGTGAAAATCTGTTCGTTAATCGAGACTTTGCAATGTGGAGGGTGTTTGTAAAAGATACGTACCCAGAAAACTCAGACGAAAAATTGGTAGAGATTTTAAACGCCAAACTCGGCACCGTTGAGTTCGTATCAATACTGGAAAAAAGCAGAAGATCTCAGAGTGGCAAGCATGATTTTGTGGAAAACTTACGTGTATGTCAGGAGAAGTTGTGGAGAATAAAGGAGTAACTGAAGATGGTGCTTTCAGTTTGTTGAATCTCGACGAGAAATCTGACTTAAACAAACCTACACTTGATTACTTCGATAAGGGGGAGGTGACTAAATTGCAGAAAGATTCACGACGCTCTGATAGAGATCTTGACGGCAGTTTGGTGGAAAGGCCACTCTTTTACCCGTGGTATAGTTATGTCAAATACCTACGAGGCAATGAGGCGGATGAAGCAATAGCTTTTTTTCTGGCGAAGCGTTACGACAACAACATATATACTTTGTTGAGGATGCTAGAGAATTACAAGACCTATTGGCCTACGAGTGAAGTTGCGACAGAACTACAGCGTGCGCAGATATCTTATTTTGTGCGCCAGGGAGAAACTATTCAAAGTATGATGAATACTTTACAGCTAAACCGCCATGTATTAAAAATTTTGGCGTTTGACTCCGTTGAACATAAGATCATTATTGCTTTTGTGAATGCGCTGCAGAGCAACGCAAAAAAGGAGGTAAAGGGGGGAGAATGAAGCTATAGCGTATGCATTTGAAAAGATTTATAAAACAGCGGAGGAGCTAGATCAACTAATAAAACCGCTTGAGGACGCAAAAGATGGGAGAATGTCCATGTACAAAGGGGCCAATTCGAACCCATGGTCTAAGGATATAGAGGCAGAGCATGCCGAGGAATTGTTGAAATGGATCAAGAAATTTCGCGATCAGAGAGCGAAGCTTGCTCCAGGGCCATAGTTTGGCTAATGCCGAACTACTTGTGAATACTTTGGAAGATCGAAAGTGGAAGTATACGTGGTTCGGTAAATTACTTTACTTGGACGGACACAAGTCTTCGATTACATTCTTATGCATGCACTTCGCTGCAATTAAGGTATGACTGATGAAGCTATCATACCCTTTTGATCACACCATGCGACGAAAAAATATGCGTTCGTAATAATTTTTTTTGTTTCTTTCTTAGGTATGCAACAATTAAGTGTTTCGAAAGGAATAATTCTTGCAGCTCTGTTATGCCGGAACAAGTAGCATCTCTATTACGAAATGAAAGACTCGCTTATTGTCACCTATTTGCACTTTTCAGTTCTCCAAATACACTAGAATTAATTTATGCTTTTGCTTGAGCGAGTGATATGCGCGGAGCTAATCAAAGGTGTTGTAGCACTTGTAGGCTGTGTTGTAGTTGTCACAGTGATCGAAGTGTCTTCACCAAAATTTTTTGCAACATGATCTTCTGTGCCAACAACAGCCGTATTTTTTCAGGACAATTGTCTCATGATACTGAGATACAAAAGAGCCGCGAAAAACAGCATGATCCTTCAGATTTCTCGGTCTTGAATTTACAACCGATTGCTTGAAGCGCAACACTTTTATGCTAAACATCCTATATAAGGCAATGGATTTCATTTGAGAGCAACCGACGATTTTTTTTATCGAATCCAAGGAGCATTTATAGCTACACCTTGGCACTTGATCATTAACAAAACGTTTTCAACGTGCTAACGGTAAAAATACTTGCTTAATCTCGAGTGACTATACCTGGCAATGTCGAAACGTGCCTTTTATCAGCACGATGACCAACCCTAAGCAGATCCTGAAAAGACTAGGAGGCTAAATGTTACGCGCTTCGAGAGTGCGGCGTTATTATAATATTGTTGTCTAAAAACGATACATTTCACACAGAACCAGCTATCCACGTTGCCAAAAAGTCTGGATTCTTATACCGACGGAAATGACACAGAGTGCATTTTTCTTAAAGCAAAACTTTTAGTTTATTGAAGTTGACGAAGGTCGTGTATGTGTTTACCACACTATTGTAATAAATACCATTCTGTAGCTTCTAGTACCATGAAATGAGGAAAGTCGTCTAACCCATCAGAGTTCACAGGACTCTAAGGTTCAAGACCGTTGCTTTCACTACACACCTCGACGTGAGTCTTTTCGTCGCGCTAAAACTTCAGCATCCTATTTCCGTCAATTTTAACAAGGACAGTGAATTCGTGTAGCCGAGCTACTGTAGCTAAGCTACTTGTGCACTATGTGCAGAGGAAGACAAGCTCCAAAAGCTTATATGTCTTACGGTTCTCAACCCTTTCTAGGCTAACTCGCAAGCTTATGTAGCCGAGCTACTGTAGCTACGCTACTTGTGCACTATGTGCAGAAGTAGTAGTCAAACTACTGTAGCAAAGCTACGTATGCACTATGTGCAGAGAAAGACAAACTCAGAGAGCTTCTACGTCTTAGGGTGTTTAACCCTCCTAGGCTAGCTCGTAAGCTTGTGGTCATCGGCATTAACAACCGAGTCTCAAAGAGACTAGTATCAAAGATACTGATTTCTCAGGAGGAATAGAAAGCTCAAGCAGTGATGCTTATAGAGCAGGTTTGAAACTGGTTTATATTTATGTTTATCTTCTAACACTAAATATAGAAGCACCTACTCTATACTTAGTGCTAGTCACTATTTACTGGCTCTATAGCCTTTTATTATTATGCAAACATGCATAGTCACTATCCTTTTTTAAATAAGTATAGTGACTACGTGGCCTCTGTCACGATGCGACCCTTCGTACTTCAGGAACGGTCACATCACCTACTTTTGTACCCAAGGTACAGCCACACCACATTGGTGTGGCAGGTCTGTTTGTAAAGTACACACCTTCGTGTAACCCCATTCACCATTCCCCACCAATCCGTGGGACCCGACGTACCCACGAATTTTCGCACTTAATTGGAGGCACCGATTTTATCTTCTTCTCATTTGCTTGCCTCGCAATAAGTGCTTGCACCTGCGTCTAAAGCTTCTGTGTTTTTAACACTTGCTCTTTGAGCACCCGTGCATTGCACATACGCTTTATGAGCATCCTTGTGTTACGACACTCGCTCTTTGAGCATATATTGCATCGCACTCACGCTAAAGCATTAAGTGTTACGATACTTGCTTATAAGCGTTAAGTGTCAAGCACTTGGTAATAATACCCTTTGTGTGTTCTGAACACTTGCATTCACAGCACAAAGTACCTAGCACTTGCCTTTAAGCATTACAATGTTTACAACACTTGCTTTAAGCATCACAGTGATCACGATCACTTGCTTTATAAAGCACTTGTCTCAATAGCACTAGCTCCATCATGGGATGAAGCAATGCGTAACGACATTTTTGGAGACGATGACAGTGACGTTGCCTCTACGGGCGGCGGAGTCGAGTCACTTTCGGGTCAAAGTCACCCAAGATCATCACGCTCACCGAGCGAGGGACGTCGATCCCATTCTGTGTCTTCCCCTCTAAGGGAGACAGCCCCTTTGCGCCAACGCCTCCTCTTCCCTCGCGAGAGGGTACAGACAAAGAGGTAACTTACCCTCTTGACGCTGCACAGCGTCGTCAACTTGACGACAAGGACCGAGCGGCCGCTTTGGCACGACCCAAACAAACATTTTCACGACGTGATTATGGGTTCGTGCCCCGGGACCCCAATGCGGAAGCTCGACGAGCTGCATCGCTATCCTTGCGAACCTATATCATTGGGTCCTATGCCCGTACTGCTTGCGAGGTTGCGGATCGTACAGCTCTTCGTAAGCGACTCCCAGGAGTTTACGATGAAATTCGTATCAGGAGCGACTGTCACGACTGTCACGTGGGGTGCCCGTGCACCCACTAAACGACATACCAGTGGTGCTTGTACCAGGTGAAACATCTGCACAAAATGATCACCGGTTCACCCGTTGGGTAGAAGGAGCATGTAAGCTCTCAATTTTGTCTAACTTGCGCTTAAGCGCTAAAGAACCAGTTGATTGGTTAGAACGCCGTCTACGTTTTAACTTCGCTAAGCTCAAAGCGAAACTTCAACTACCCTCCACATACAGGTCAAAGACTCGTGGGGAGCAAGCTTCTGAAGCTGTTGCCCGTACCTCTCACTCGAGTGATGTACCGACATTGGCTTCTTCTGAAGGTCAGAGGCGAAGCCAGCCTGCTGACCCTACTTTCACAGCACCTAGTGCTAGGAAGCGTCCGAAGACAGCTGTCGTCGCTTCTGACCTTCCTGGTCAACAGCTTCAACGGCGTCAGGGCGATCCTGCCGAAGCGATACCTCATACTCCCACGGGTCATACGACTGGGGGTAACCCCTCCACTTCACCAAGTATTTGGTATGACCCTGGTGACGACGCCGAGCCAAGAGACGTTCCACGTAGAACTGTTGATGACCCTGGTCATCAATCAACGTCGGAAGAGGTCGATGACCCATTGACCTCTCATCTCTCTGAGATTGAGCGTCGCCTGATGCTCCTGGAGCGTGATTCCCTTGTACCGGTGAGGTCCCACCTGTCATCGCTTGATGACCGTGTTGATCGACACCGTTGATCCTTTGAGCGTTGTCGCTCTGAGACCTTGGATTACTTAGCGGTTATCGAGCGTTTCTAAGCCAAACTGCAATGTCAGATCGACCTCCTGGTACGCCTTTGGCGTCCATATGCACCTCCGGTGCAGTACTTCCCGCCTCCTTCGGCCGGGGGTATAGGGGGAAACCCTTCGTAGGCCACCGAGGCATGGTTAAAACATGGCTTTAGTAAGCCCACATAGAACACAGGGTGTGTTTGCATCTTCTTTGTAAGGTTCAGCGTATACGCTAAGCCTTTCTTGCTTATAACCTTAAAAGGTCCAATAAAATGTGGTCGTATTTTAGTTTTGTATACCGCCGGAACGGCACGGTAGGTAATTACTAGCTTTTAACAAACCAAGTCTTCCACTTTAAACTCATGTTCGTTCTTTATGCCTCTGGCATCCGCATCTTCCTTTTGAACACCCTGGCTTTCAGCCATAGCGTCTTTGACGCGACGTAATACGTCAATACGAGCTGAAAGAAACGCTTCCACATTCTTGCGAATCGCAACAGGGCTGATATCAGCCAAGCCTTCGGCTATCTCTCCCCCATTAAGCCCTAATGTGGCAGGGGGTAGCGTTAACGGAACGCGAGGGTTGACCAAACCATTCACGTCGAATGGGGTGAAGCCTGTCGAGGTATGCACCGCGTAGTTCAACGCAAACTCTACCAGAGGGAGCATTGTGCTCCATTGCTTGGGTGTTTTAGCACAAACACTGCGAAGCATATCGCCAATAACGCGGTTGACGCGTTCAGCCTGACCATCGGTCTGCGGATGATCCGCCGTGGACATGTCCAGTCGAGTGCCGAGCACTTTAAAGACGAATGTGCAAAACTTGCCCGTAAAACGGGGGTCTCTATCCGAGACGATTGTCACAGGCAATCCGTGTTGTCGAAACACACAATCATGAACAGCTTTGCTGTTCTTTCTCCATCAATGGAGTTCGGCACTGTCGCTAAATAAGCCATCTTGCTCAGTCTGTCTACAAAGACCACAGTTCTAGTGTTGCCTGCCGCATCACGCGGTAGGCCAAACGCAAAGTCCATACTAATGGACTGCCACAGCACCGAGGGTACAGGCAAACTCGCCAAAGGCGCAGCCATATTAGGCGAGGGATTCACCCTTTGACACGTTGTACACA